TCCCTGTGTCTGTCTCTCACCCTGTACAAAAATGAATTCAAAATGGATCAAAGATCTAAATGTAGAAATTGAAATTTTTAAACTACTAGAGGAAAACAGCAATACCTTGAAGACACAGGCTTAAGCAACACCTTTCTGAATAGATTCTGACGGCTCAAGAAATAAGAGTAGCAATTGACAAATGGAGCTGTATCAGATTAAAAAGTTTCTGGACAGCAAAGGAAACAATTACCAGAATCAAGAGACAACCTACATAATGGGAGAAAAATCTTTTCCATCTATTCATCAAATAAAAGATTAAAATCCAGAATTTTTAAAGAGTTCCAAAAACTATACTCCGAAAGAACAAACAATCCAATTAATAAATGGGCAAATGAATTAACAGGAAATTCTCAAAAGAAGTACAAATGGCCGATTAATATATGAAGAAATGCTCAACATCTTTATCCAAAAAATGAAATTCAAACAAAACTACAATGAGATTCCATCTCATCCCAGTTAAAATGGCAATCTTCAAGAAAACGAATAGCAACAAATGCTGGTGAGAATGTGAGAAAGGAACCCTCATACACTGTTCATGGGAATATAAATGAGTCCAGCCACTACGGAAATCAGCATGGAGGTTCTTTACAAAACTAAAACTAGAACTATTATATGATCCTGCTATACCACTCCTGAGCACATAGCTGAAGGAGTGTAAATTCCCCATACAATAAAGAAACCTACTCACCCATGTTCGTAGCAGTGCTATTCACAATAGCCAAACTATAGAGTCAGTCTGGGTGTCCATAAACTGATGAGTGGATAAAGAAAATGTGATATATAATACCCACACATACACACAATAAAGAAAATATGATGTGAAATACACACACACACACACACACACACACACACACACATGAGTATTATTCAGCCATAAAGAAGAATGAAATTATCTCACTTGCAGGAAAATGGATGGAACTAGAAACTATCATGTTGAGTGAAATAAGCCAAGCTCAAAGAGCCAAATATCACATTTTTGCTCAATCTGCAGAATCTAGACCTAAAGAAATGGATGACACAAGTGTAAAATGGGGGAAAGGCCTGTTTGGGTGTGGGAAGTAGTTGGATGGTGTAGTGCGAAAGGAGAGGAAGAAGGCAGGGCTGAATATGATCAAAGTACTTCATAAAATAGAATAGTAAAACCCATAAGGCAGGGAGGGAAAAGAAGGAGTAAAAAGGGGATGAATGTGATCAAAGTACATTCCACGAGTGTATGGAAAATCACACTGAAACTCCTTTGTACAATTAACATATGCTAATTATGAAAGAGAAAAAAGCAGTAAGGAAAGAGTAGTTCTCCGAATATCAGGATTTAGTACAAAGCTAAACTAATTAAAAGTGTTTTTACCTAAGCACAAATTAGCCAATATAGCATAATAAAGACTCTAGAAACCAATCTTGTGTATGGAAATTTACTATGTAATGGAGGTGATGTGGCAGATCGGTGGAGAGACAGAACTGGGACAGCTGGTTATTCATATGGGAAAAAGTTGGATCCCTACTTCTTATCACATAAAAATGTCAATTCTAGGGTTGTGAGTGTAGCTCAGTGGTTGAGTGCCTAGCATGACAAGCCTTGGGTTCAGTCGTTACTACCACCCAAAAACTCAGTTCTACACAAAAAACTTAAACATCGAATAAAAAATTTTATACTTTTATGTGAATAAGTGAATGAATATGAATAAATACCTTAAGAGTATGAGTATTTTTAAAGACAAAAATGATAATCATAAAATAAACTGTGACAAATTCTATATTAAAACTAAGAACTATTCATTAAGACTCTTTAAAGTGAAAAAGCAAGACACAAATATGTAGATAATATTTGGAAAATATCAACCCATAAAGGAACAGTATAAAAAATACATAAGGAAATCTTGCAAATAGATAAAGACAAGACAATAGAAAAACAGAACCAGAACATATAAATTTTCTGGAAGAACTTCAAGACAGTTTAAAAAGAATATATTATATTTGTATGAAATCTAAATAGGCAAGCTTGGTGTGGTAACGCATACCTGCAATTCAAGCACCTGGGAGGAAAGGCAGGAGGATCATGAGTTTGAGGCTAACCTAGACTACACAGCAAGACCCTTTCAAAAACACAGAAGAACAAAACAAATCAACCACCCTCCAAAACAAGGTGTATATATAAATAAGCATGTCACAGGTAAGGAAAAATATATAGAACTTTAATATATGAAGAAACGCTCAACTTTACTTGTATTTAGAATTCAGAGAAATGCAAATCAAGACTAGAGTGAGGTAACACTTAAAAATTGTGGTAAAGTGTAAAACATAAAGTTTTTCATTTTAGACACTTTAAAGTGTAAAGTTCAGTGTCATTAAGGACATTTACAATGTTGTACATGACCATCACTATCTAGCTCCAGCATTTTTCATCACTCCACGAGGAAGCCCCATGCCCATTAAGTGTTTACTCTCCATTCCAACTTTCCAGCCTATGGCAACCACTTGCTTGCTTTCTGTTTCCATGTATTTGCCTATTCTGGATATTACATGTAATTGAACCATATAATATGTGGGCTTTTGTGTCTGGCCTCTTTCACTTATCTTTCATAATTTTAAAAGTTATGCACATGGCAACATCTATTAGTACTTCATTGCTTTTTATGTTGCATGATATTCCACCGTATCGACATACCATATCTGTTTATCCATTTGTCAGATGATGGATATTTAAGTTGCTTTCACTTTTTGGGTATTGTGAACATTAGTGATGTACCACTTCATACTCACTTGAATGGCAAAAATGAAGCGACAGACAATATTAAGTACTGGACAGATCTCTTCAAAGAGATGTTGCTGATGGGAGTGTAAATTTATTTAAGCAAGCTGGAAGACGACTTGATATGTCTTGTGAAACTGAACATTCACATCCTCTGTAATCCAGTAATTTCACTCTGAGGCATAAGTCCAAGAGAAGCTTTATTGTATAGGCACCAGGAGACATAGCTAAGAAAGTTAATAGCGTACTGTTCCTAATAGCAAAATACTTGAATCACTTGTATATGCTAATAGCCATTTCTTTCAAGGAATTGTATGCTGAAGGAAGGAAATGGAACTATAGTGTGGATTGATATTTTTCTTAAGATGTGAGAAAGGGCTGGTGGAGTGGCTCAAGTGGTAAAGTGCCTGCCTAGTAAGCATGAAGCCCTGAGTTCAAATTCCAGTACTACCAAAAAACCCCGTATTTTTTTTTAAGATGGGAGAAAAATACACACTTGTATGCTGAAGCATTGAGTCAACAGAAATAGAGAAAACTCCCCCAGAATTGTTGAAGTACCAGATTTGTGGATCAGCTCTGACTTCAGTTCTGAAGGGTGTTGTACATATCCTCTAGTTTAAGTTTTGTCTCTCTTTTGTTTGTCCTTCATAAACTGCTGGATCAAATAGAGCACACTGAATGAATACTCTGAATATTTGTTTTACCTTTGCTTCCTAGAAAGAATTCAGTAAGTTCACCTTCCAAATCACCATAGAAGTAAGTTACCATATACCTTCATTCATACATTGTACAGCAGTCAAAATGAATGAACTATAATGATGTGACAACATGGATGAATCTTAGTAACAAAATGTTGAATGAAAAAGTTAAGTTGAAGAAGACAACAAATAGTAGTATATCTTTTTTTTGAATACTTAGATATAAGCAAACTTAAACAATGTCACTCAGATTATAATAACACAAACATACAAACACAAAATGCAGGACAATCATTATCTGTGGGAGAAACGGAGGAAAAGAAAACTAGCACACAGATCTAAATCATTGTTAATCTTTGTGTTCAGTGGTCGTCGAATTTTAGTGTGCATCACAAACACCAGGGGAGCTCATTCAAACCTAGATGGTTGAGTGGAAACTCGAGTTTCTGATTCAGTGGGAGGGCAGTTTCCTAACAAAGTTCCAGGAGCCTCTAGTGCTGCTGCTCTGGGGACCACACTTCAAGAACCACTTCGAGTACTTAGGTTGGGTGTGGGTTCACAGGCGCTCCATTCCATTTTATTATTAAATTATACACACATGTGCAAGCACACACATACACTATTTAAATTAAATTGGGGGGGGGGATAAAGGCCAGTTATAAACCAGTGTTATGAACTAGTGATTGATTTTAATCCAATTCGGGCTCATGGGGTCTCTTCTCCCAAAAGCTAGGGTTTCGTTACTTAAAACCAAACTTTGAAAACATGGTTCTAGAACTTCAAGACCATTTCAAAATTAACTACTGTTGAGAAATAAATTTGAAAGTCAATTCTTCCTTATGTACACATAAATCTACTTCTTGATTCGTCAAAAATTATGTTTAAAAGAATTAAAGATTGCATTTAGCTAAGACTTGTTTTTTAAAAGTTTAGCGTATAAAGGTGTGTCGTGGTATTTTCATACATGCACACAATGTACTTTGACCAAATTTACCCCATTACTTTATTACCCCTCCTCCCCTTTCTCAGTTTTTATCCTCCCCTAAGTGCTCTAGGTAATTTTCTTCCATCCTCCCTTGCAGATTTATTTCGGTTTTGAGATACACTTTAGAAGGCTAGTCAGACTCCCATTGGGGCAGATGAACAGGTCGTCCTGTTTTCTGCAATACGCCAACACAGACGGAGTTTTGAGAAATGCTCGATAACAGAACGCCTGCCCACAGGCAGTTCAGCCCAGAATGGGAAGAGATTCCCGAGTGCAAAGTCACAAGTCAGAGCGGATCCTCAGGACCGTATCTTCTTTCACAGCCTCCCCCGGCCCCGCCCATTACGCCGGATCGGGCTTCCGCCGGGGAGCCCGCGCGCCCGCCGAGGGAGGCGGCGCGGCCGGGGCTGGCGCTCAAGGCCGGATTTCATTGGCTTCCCAGCCGGAAGCTCCGGGATGACGAAGCTGCGCATGCGCCCTTCCACCCCCCCACGTGCTGCCCGGACGCAGCCGTCACCGCCTGGTCGCAGCATGCTGCGAGTATCTGTGCTCCGGCTGTTGGGTTGCGCGGGGCCCAGCAGAGTCTCTCTCCTGGGGTGTTCTGGACCACGCCACTGCGGTTCGTACTCTCCGCGTGCCCGCGACGATGTTCACGACGCGCGCGCCTACTTCACCACACCCATTTTCTACGTGAACGCGGCGCCGCACATCGGACACCTGTACTCGGCACTACTGGCGGACGCCCTGTGCCGGCACCGTCGCCTGCGAGTGCCGGGCACCGCCGCCACGCGATTCTCCACCGGTACGGACGAGCACGGCCTGAAGATTCAGCAGGCGGCCGCCACTGCGGGTCTGGCCCCAATCGAGCTGTGTGATCGGGTCTCTGCCCAGTTCCAGCAGCTGTTCCGGGAGGCCGGAATCTCCTCCACCGACTTCATCCGCACTACGCAAGCCCGGCACCGCGTGGCTGTGCAGCACTTTTGGGGGGTGCTGAAGTCCCGGGGTCTGCTCTACAAAGGGCTCTATGAAGGTTGGTATTGCGCCTCCGATGAGTGCTTCTTGCCTGAGGCCAAGATCACCCGGCAGCTGGGTCCGTCGGGGGACTCGTGGCCTGTATCTCTCGAGAGTGGGCATCCTGTCTCCTGGACCAAAGAAGAAAACTATATTTTCAGGCTTTCCCAGTTTCGGGAGCCGCTGCAGCGGTGGTTGCGAAGTAACCCTCAGGCGATCACCCCAGAGCCATTCTATCATGCAGTCCTTCAGTGGCTGGAGGAGGAACTGCCCGATCTGTCCGTTTCTCGCAGGAGTAGCCACTTGCACTGGGGCATTCCGGTTCCTGGGGACGATTCACAGACCATCTACGTATGGCTGGATGCTCTGGTCAACTACCTCACCATAATTGGTTACCCAAATGCTGAGTTTAAATCTTGGTGGCCAGCGACATCTCACATCATAGGTAAGGACATTCTCAAATTTCATGCCATCTATTGGCCTGCACTCCTCTTAGGGGCTGGATTGAGTCCACCACATCGCATCTATGTTCACTCCCACTGGACAGTGTGTGGCCAAAAGATGTCCAAGAGCTTGGGCAACGTGGTGGATCCCAGGATCTGTCTTGATCGCTATACTGTGGATGGCTTCCGCTACTTTCTCCTTCGGCAGGGCGTGCCCAACTGGGATTGTGACTACTATGATGAAAAAGTGGTCAAGTTGCTGGACTCGGAGCTGGCAGATGCCTTGGGAGGGCTTTTGAACAGATGCACTGCCAACAGAATAAATCCTTCTGGGACCTATCCAGCCTTCTGCACTACCTGCTTCCCCTCTGAGCCAGGGTCCACAGGGCCACTGGTTCGTGCTCTGGCAGAGGACTATGCTCTCATAAGTGCAGTGGCCACTTTGCCCAAGCAGGTAGCCAGCTACTATGATAATTTTCAGATCTATAAAGCTCTGGAGGCAGTGGCCTGCTGTGTTCGGCAAACTAATGGTTTTGTTCAAAGGCATGCACCATGGAAATTGAACTGGGAGAGCCCAGTGGATGCTCCATGGTTGGGTACTGTGCTTCATGTGGCCTTGGAATGTTTGAGAGTCTTTGGAACTTTGCTTCAGCCTGTTACCCCAAACCTAGCTGACAAGCTGCTGTCCAGGCTGGGGGTCTCTGCCACAGAGAGGGGCCTTGGAGAGCTCAATTTCCTGCCTCGATTCTATGGACATCCATGCTCTTTTGAAGGGAGGAGGCTGGGACCTGAAACTGGGCTTTTGTTTCCAAGACTGGATCAATCCAGGGCTTGGCAGGTAAAAGCCCACAGGACCTAGACCCCAATTCTGACTGACTATGGCAAAAAGAGCAAATGTGTTAGTTTTTCATTTTCAGGAAAGGTACACTAACTAGTATTTTCCTAAAATTATGTGCATCAGATGAGCACATAAATTGTGGTGTTTGAAATGAGGTTTCCAGTTTGTCAGGAGCCTACCCCTTTCTTCATTTCTCTGCCCATTGACCACTCACTGTTCTTTGTGTACCACTGTCTAAAGTGTCTCCAGGGGAAAGATGGTAAGCGATAATGTTGCTCATACTATTCCTTCTCATTGTACCTCCCAAACCATGGTTACCTTATTTGTTCAAACTACCTCTCATGACTTCTGCTTCTCAGACTAAATAGAATAGTGACTACTTATATTAAGAGTAGGGATTGGAGGCCCCAACCTCAGTTTTCACAGGTTAGCCCTACTTTGTTATACATACTGGGTCTCCTATTAAAAAGGGATTCTTTTATTAAACCTTTTAACAACCAGTGCCCTAGACTAGATTTTTGCCCATGTTCATTCCCTTCCTGAGATGCCCAACAACTAGGACTCCCAAGTTTGTTAATAGTTCAACAGTTGTGCTTTGTGACCTTACACTTCAGCCAGCAGATGGCTCTGGTTTCATACACTTAAGTACTTAAGATTGAGGTTTCAAAATATTTGTTTTCTGCTATCTAATTTCACAGATCTTTACATTTCTTTATTGCTTTTCTT